CTCGCAACGCTGACCTCAAATATACCCTGCCCCAAACTGTGCTGGCCAGTTCCGCCTAGACAAGCTCGCAGTGTTGACCTGGGATGCGCCCTGCCTTGAAGTAGTCAGACCCCGGATGTGCCCCGAGATGCGATGTTCAGGCCACTGTCGCCTGAGACGCCCTCGCACCTCTGACTTCGGAGGTGCCCTACCCCATGGCGGTCTGGCCACTTTCACCTGCGACATCCTCGCAACAGTGGCTTCCAAACGCCTAAAGCTGAGACATCCTCGCAACAGTGGCTTCCGAGGCCACTTTCGCATGAGACATCCTCGTAACTCTCATTTCCGAAATGCCCGGGGCTGAATGATCAGAGATATCCTAAGAGATCTGACATCGGATATGCCCTGCCCCAAGTTGGTTCGGCCACTGTCTCCTGAGACCCTCGCAGAGCCTGCACTACCACGCAGATCATCGTATGCGTCGGGAGAAGCTCGGACCCCTGCGAGACTCCGTCCGCACCAGAGCCCATCACAAAACTCAAGCTGATCAGGCAGGGACGCCCCAGAGCCGTCGCCGTGGCCGTCGTCGTGGCGGCGGGGGCCTGACAACCAGCCGATAAAACCGATAAGCCGGTAAACCGATATGCGGCACAAGGATCGACTCCTCAAGAATGCCCCCAGCGGTCTCAGACCAGCCAGTGATCCGATGAGCCGGTAAACCGATAAACCGATAAACCAATAAAATGATAAAGCCATCTTGCGTTGAGATCCGTACACGATTGCGATGAGACGGTTTATCGGTTTATCGGCATATCGGCAGATCCACCGATAAACCGATATAATCATATCGGTTTATCGGTCGATCTGCCGATATATCGATAAACCGATTAGTTTTTGATCGGTTTATCGGTTAATCGGTCGGATGGATTTCCGCCACCGTTTTCCGCTGCACTCGACAGTTCGCTAGTGAGATCGATGGTGAGACCGATGGACAAGGAGATCGACCAAGAACCCGGGAACGCAGAAACCCGGGAACTTCGCCGCCCACGGAAATCGGTCAGAAATTAGCAACCGGGAATCCGGGAACCCGGATTCTGCAACCCGGGAACCCGGCTGCCTACCGAAATCGTCCCGGCATTTTCGGCAAAATGTTCCAATGTCCGTTAGGACCCTTGAGTGCAAGTATTAGTTTGGGGAAATACAAGCAAACATCCGAAGACTATTTCACCAGGGATAACCCCAAGCAGTGCTTAGATCGCCGGGTGGCTGTAAGTGCGATAAGAGCGTTATATGTCAGATGAAATCGCTTCAACGAAGGTGTATCTAGGTTCATTTCATATGACCTCACATATTCAACATAATTCAGATAGCAAGCTTAGGCGTCATCTACATAAGGTCGCATTCGATAGTTCAACGACATTTCATACATATTACACAGATCTTCCGATCTTACTGCATGAGTTGTCTGTTATCCCTTCCAAGAGGTAACTACTCATACAAGTCAACGCACCCCACTTAGTAGCTAAGTCAGCTAAGCCGCTTTGCGCTGTCGATCGTGGCATACATGACATTTGGCTGTGTTTTTCTATTTCGTTACTGTTGCAATGCGTTGGTGTTCTTACGTTTTGTGTATATAGGAAATCAACACAACAACAAACAACAAACTTCCAGGACAAGGCGTCGCAGGCCCACTGCGTAGGCGGGAAGCTGGCTGCCCGTTCCCCGCCATCCTTTCCTCAGCTCCCCTTCCACCCTCTTCTCCCTGTCCGCCCTCTTCCTCCCGCTCGGCGGCCATCACCGCCCCCCCCTTTTCCCTCCTCTCCTCGCCCGCCTTCTCCCCTCGGCGGAAAACCCGCCTTCCCCCCTCGGCAGCAAATCCGCTTCCCTCCTCGGCGGCAAACCCGCCTCCCCTCCTCGGCGGCAAACCCGCCTTCCCTCCTCGGCGGCAAGCCCGCCCCCCCCCCCGCCCCCCTTTATCGCCTTCGCCCTCCCGCCCTCCCCCTGCGCCCCCTCGAGCCTGGGGCGGCACATCCGCCAGCGGACAACCCGCTCCTCGTCCTCCTCCTCCTCCTCCTCCTCCTCCTCCTCCTCCTCCCTCCTCCTCCTCCTCTTCCTCCTCCTCCTCCTCCTCCTCCTCCTCCTCCTCCTCCTCCTCCTCCTCCTCCTCGCGATGTTTCGCGTTTGTTTCTCTCCCACGCGATGGCGAGCGCGCAGCCATCGTCCATCGGCCGCCGGTGAGCGGGCCAGGCTGGCAGGATCAGCTCGGCGGGCAGCACGGCGAGGTCGTTGCGCGGCCGCCACAGAGGCGCGCCTGGGCCTGGCGCGCGCGCCCAGTCCAGGGTCTCCACCAGCAGGTACCAGGCGGCTGAGGCGTGCGCGCAGCAGTGCACGATGTGCGCCTCGCCGTCGCCCAAGAGAAATTGTTGGCCCTCCTCGTCCTCCTCCTCCGCCTCTTCCTCCTCCTCCCCCTCCTCCCCCTCCTCCTTCTCCTTCTCCTCCTCCTGTGCCCTCTGTCTTGGCTGCCGCGCATGGGGCCGTCGATCGACGCCTCTGTGCCGGTCCAGGCCGCAGCCCTGGGGAGGGGGATGGGGGGGGCATTGAATTGTCCAAGCTCGCCCCTCTCAAACCCGAGGATGGTTCGAGCGGTGCGAATTTGCTCCCTTAGATCCCCGGCCCGGGTGCCCGAACGCGCTGTCCAGCTAGGACGGTTCCTGTTGGCGTCGCTGCCGCCAGAAGCGCGCCCAGAATTCCCGCTTGCAAATCGTTGCGGAGCTGCGAAGCGCAGACGCGCCCGCGGCCAGGGGGCTGGTCGAGGAGCGCCCGGCGATCGCGGCGGAGGCGCGCGCGGCCCAGGACGGCGGGGGGGACGGGCTGGCGAACCAGCGGCGACGGCTTCACTGAGTGAAGGCGCGCGCCGTCCGCGCGCCCAGAATCGGGGGCGCGCCCCCGTTTGCGCTAGCTCTTCGCGCCCGCTGAGACGCAGGGTCGCGGCGAGGGGGGCGGCGCCCCCAGTCGAGGAGACGCCGCAAGGGGGGGGGAATAGAGGGGGTGGGGTTTGGGCGGAGTAGCGCGACATTAACATGAAAGCATCATTATTCCAACATATAGATCGAGCGTGCAACTCTGTGAGCCCGGATTAACGGTGATAGCTAATTCGAGCACGTTTGACCTTCAAGGAAGCCGCCGAAATCGGCCCGGAACCAATGACTTGGAACCCGGGAGCCCGGAAACAGAAACCCGGGAACCCAGCTTGGCACCGAAATCTGCGGGGCATTCCCGCCAAATCTTGCCACTTCCGCTCGGGCCCCTTCAGTGCAAGTGCAACCTGGACAAAACAGCTGCCTTTCCCAATCGACAAAACTGTTTGATAGATGGCTGGGCAAAATAAGTTTTGGAACGCGCAACCGTCGCGGAGGAGCCGCGTTTGTTTTGATAGCGCGGATTGCGATCGAACGCGCAATTTTCATGCACGTATTTACGAATGACAATGTGCGGCGCGAGTAAGGATGCCAGACAGTTGTTTTTATTATTGGATAAAGACGACGGGCACCCCCCTGGCATTGACACGTGCCATAGGGGATGTATGTGGCATGGAACATTGTCATGGGGGAATTATGCGGCGCTGACGAGTGCCATGATTCATGGCAACGGACACCCACGTGTTTAAAGCTCAAGCATTTGGTCGTGCCTCATCTTCTGCCAATGAGCCACATGCTTGGAATATGATTCGCCCCATAACTGCTCGATCATTGGAATCGTTTTTCACTCCTGAATCGCATCGCGTATTTTTTCTTGGAACACAATTTCTTCTTGAAGGAAGGTCATGGGCAAACCACGTGTAATTGAGACGTCCGGGGGGTGTAATATGTCACGCTGGCGTTGGGAAACAAGGTGTGGTCTTAACCTTTGTTTGCGACGACACTTCGGTTCACTGGGCGCGCTGACGTGGTCTGTTTCACGCATGGTTCTGTCACACAGCGGCCTCGTCGGAAGGGGGGGGGGCAGGGTGACGGCGCGGGGGAGTCAGAGGCATTGGGGGTGTCAGGGAGGGGATGCGATTGTTTTTACCTGTTGGTTCACCGACCGGCACAGGCACTCGCACCCCCTCCCCCCCATGGAGTAGGTATTGGCTGTTTTTGGCGTTTGTTTCGGGCAGGTGCAGTCTCCCTCACAATATTTACTGTTGCAAACAGTCGCATTCAGCAGAGCTCCAGAGCATGACCCCCCCTTTTCCGCCCAATATCGACACACCGAATAAGAAAACGTCCACGAAGGCGGGACGGGGCTTGCAGGAATCAACATGGGAAGAGGCAGAAGGGGGGGAGAAGAGGAATGAGAGGTGGCACGGCGGGGCCTTCGCGGTGCAGCGCGCAGGCCACCGATGTTTTGTCACGCTGTTGTTGAGGTTGGTTTCCTCTCCTCTTTGTTTCTCCTGCTCTCCCTCTCTCTCTCTCTCTCTCTCTCTCTCTCTCTCTTTCTCTAACTTTATGTCCTCTCTCTCTCTCCCTCTGTATTGTTTTCTCTCTCTCTCTCTCTTTTCTCTCTCTCTCTCTCTCTCTTTCTCTTTTGTTTGTTTTATGTTTCTCTCTTTTTCTCTTTCCCTTCAGGTTTTTCTCGCCCTCCAGCATCAGTTGAGAAGCCCGGCCCAGGAATGCAAACCCCAGACCAGGACGGGGAAGGAGTGCCTTGATCGAATCAGCCGTGGACTCCCGCCCACAGTTCTCAGCATGGCTGCGAAGGAGGCCAGGTCCCGGTCTTATTCCGACTCGATTTGCGATACAATGGAGACCCATGACAAGAAACTCCGTTCGTGCCTCCAGGGTGACCTGGATTTCGTGGGTTTCGATGGTTTGGTTATGGAAAGTGTGAAGTTCCCATACCAGAAATCCATGGACGTCCTAGGGTCTCAGGGCTCTGCAGTTCTGAATCTCTGAATCTCTTCCGTTTCCTGATGCCCCTCCGTCCTGCCCTCCGCCCGCCCGCTTGCCTCCGACGAGACGTCGCCGGCGACGACGCGCCAGGCCCCCGACGCCCGGCGACGACGCCTTCGAGCTGTGCTGCCACTTGGCCGGGCCCAAGGTGAACCGCAGGTGCCACTCCTCGGAAAATTGAGCATATACATTACCAGTGGCGGGCGGTTTTTCAATCCCAGGGCTTTTTTGAGGGCCGGGGACGACGTCGGGATGGTGTGTTGTATATACTTTTCTCCCCGTTTTCCCGGAGAAACCACAAAGAATATATACACCAGGCTCCCGTATACACCAGTATCCGCCTTCCTGTGCGAGACTCGGTGTGAGGCCAGACAGAGGCGCCGGTGTATAGCGTTCGGCTGCTTGACTCCCTCCCGGGGCTCGGTCGCGGCCGAGTGCGGCGCTGCCGCGGTCGCGCCGCCGCGGCTCCTCCTCGCCCGTGCCCCTCGCCCTGTTCCCTGCCGCATCCTCTCTCTCTTTCTCTAGGCCTCCTAGATGGGGTCCGAGTAGATGGGGTGGGTCGGCGGATCGCTCCAAGATATACGAGGTCAGTCTACACGAGCGCCCAGGATCACCATCATCATCATCATCATCATCATCATCATCATCATCATCATCATCATCATCATCATCATCATCATCATCATCATCATCATCATCATCATCATCATCATATTCCTAACTAACATCACCTTCACCGGGAAACTCGTTGATTATCCCCACCAGACCCCCGAGCTTTATTCTCTGGGGGTGATGATTATCTGGGGCACAGGGTTAGATGGGGTGGGTCGGAGGATCGCGCCGCATCGCCGATGCATCGGCGATGCGGCTCCATGTGGAGCCCATGTTTCCCCACGCCGACGTCGCTGATGCATCGACGACGTCGCCGATGTGTTGGCGATGCATTGACGATGCGGCTCGGTCCTTCGACCCCATCTACTCGGACCCCATCTGGGACCTCTACGTCGATTTAGCGTCGATGAGTGTCGATTCGCAAGGGCCGACAAAACGGCATGGGAGGCTCCCATAAGTTGCCACCGAACCTGGCCCCCCAGACGTGATCGAGTCGTAAAGTAAACGACGACGGGCGGTTTTGGGACATTTTCGGCCCCCGGGGGCCTCGCCGGAGGATGAAGACCTGGTCCCAGGGAAGGGTCCAGATCTCTGGGGGTGGACGGTGGACGTTGCGAAAAAATCACGACGTCGGTGGTCTGTGCCCTGGCCCCCCCCCCCGACCCTCCCTCCTGCCGCTGCTCCTCCCTTTGCTCCGTCGTCTCCGCATCGTCTCCGCGTCCTTCCCCTCTGCCATCGCCATTGCACGTCTGTTCTTGTCCCCCTGGATCCCTCCTTCCGCTTCGATTCCTGGTCCTGGTCCAGCTTCTGGTCGTCGTTCCCCCTCTCTGGGCCCGTTCTCTTCCTCCTGTGTTGGCCACGAACAGTGTTCCGGACGTTCCGGACATGTTGCGGACAAAAAGTTGTTCCGGACAATTTGTTCCGGACATTTGTTCCGGACAATTGTAGGAATTGACGTCTTTGGGGGCCGCGCGAGCGCCGTCGGCCTGGAGCCACCATGGGAGCTTGTCGCGGCCCAGAAACGTACGATTCGGGGCCCGCCGGCTCCGCATCATTTGAAATCTACGTCCCTAGGCGGGGGTGGAAGCGGAGGAGGAGGACGAGGAGCGGGTTGAGGAGGAGGAGGAGGTGGGAGGAGGATGAAGAGGTCGAGGGGGAACGAGGATCGAGGATCGAAGAGGTAGAGAGGATGGAGGGTGGGAGGGGGCGAGGGAGGGAGGGAGGAGGAGGAGGAGGAGGAGGAGGAGGAGGAGGAGGAACAGGCGGCGGCAGGCAGGTCGCCACATGGAGTCGTGGGAGAAAAATCGAGCCTCGCCCGCTGCTCAGCACACCCTGCTCCCCTTGCTTTTCTGCCGTCGCCCCCTTCGCGCCCTCGTCGTTGCCGCTGCCCCCTTTCTGCCGAGGGACTTCGGTTCCGAGACGCGTCGGCCCCGCGTCGTCCGAAACCTACGTTCCTGGGGCCGATCGGCCCCGTGCCCTGGGAAACCCGGAGGTCCAGTGGGCTGTCGGCAGCCCTCGGGCAATGGGGGCGCTTGCAGGGAAGCCGTGCAATCGGCTGTTTGACGACAGCTGTTTGACGACACCCATGGAAAATTACATAGCATCCTGCAGTTGCGGATACAGGTGAGAGGGTGGGCGGGCTGGCGCGGCGCCCGTGACCCACCCGCGACCCGCCGGCCCTGGGATCCGATCGCGACACACCCTTGACCTACCGGCCCCAAGGAAGGTCCCCTTGAGGTGTGACATACGGGCCCCAGGAAGGTGTTATACGCTCCCCTTAATTTTTACAGGGCCGTTTGAATCGCAGTCTTTGGGCACGCTTGGTTGGTTGGCTGGTCGGCGCGGCCAGGCTGGATCGTCGGATCCGGCCGCTGGTGGATGGCCAGACCTGCGCTCGAAATCTGAGTCTCTGGGCGAAGGGGGTAGGCAGGAGGCAGGGCCCCCCGGACCCCCCCGAGCAATCGCTTGATGCTTGACATCAGCATGGGCCCCCTGGCACATTGCCCCAACGTATGGTGCGCGACGCGATGATACGGAAAGGGAGGGGGGGGGGGGCGGGGAGGAGGAGGCGGTGGCGAAGGACGAGGGCGGGGACGAGGGCGAGGAGGACCGAGCCTCGTCTTCCGTTGCCATTTTGGGCCAAACCCTCCGAGGGTCGGTTGCGTTGGCTGGCCCTGGAGGGCGGCAGAGGTTGCTGCGTGCCCAGGGACGTCCATTGAGGTCCCTCCTGGCGTCGGAACACCCGATATCTACGTGCCTGAGCGGCCTGCGGGCCGCGGGCGCTACGAGGCCGGAGGGCCCTGGGGCTCCCAAGGACCTCGGAAGTGGGGGGGCCCAGGGACGTGGAGTCCACGCGTTTGTTCCGGACAATGCTCCGGACAATGTTCCGGGCAGATTCGTTCCGGACGCGGTTCGTGGCCAACACAGTCTTCTTCCTCGTCATCCTGCTTGTGGTCCGTTTGCCCGCGCTCGCATCCGTTCTTCTGATTGTTGGGCGCATGTCGAGGACCAGGATGCAGCTTAGCATTCGGTGCCGTCTTCTCGGTTGTGGCCGTGTCGGGTAATGAATGGGACATGGCATGGTGAGGGAGAGAAAGAGAGAGCGGGAGAGAGACAGAGAGAAGGTGTGAGAGTGAGAGAGAGGGAGAGAGACAGAGAGAGAGAGAGAGAAGAGATGGAGGGAGAGAGGGAGGGACGGGGAAGGTAGGGGGCCGGGAGACGGGATGAAGAAGGGACTTGAGATGAGTATGGGTGGGGGGGCCGGGAGGATGGAAGTGGAGTGGGACGTCCTCGTCCTTCCTCATCTTCCCCTTCTTCTTCCTCGTCATCCTGCTTACGGCCTTCTTGCCCGCGCTCGCATCCTTCCTTCTAAACGTCGGGCAAACGGCGAGGACTAGAGTGCAGCTAAGCATTCGGTGCCGGACGGGACGGGTAGTTTTTGGACATGGCATGGTGAGGGGGAGAGTGAAAGGAGGGGAGGGGAGGGAGGAATGCATGCAGAGAGTGAGAGAGAAGGAGAGAGCGAGAGAGGGAGAACGAGAGAGAGAGAGAGAGAACTAGAGACAGAGAGAAAGAGAGAGAGAGAGAGCGAGAGAAGCCAAACACAGAGAGGGAGAGAGTGACAGAGGGAAAAAGATAGAGATAGAGAGCCAAACATAGAGAGGGAGAGAGAGAGAGAGACAGAGAGAAGGAAGGAGAAAGAGAGAGAGACTGAGAGACATAGAAAAGGCGAGAAAGAGAGAGAGAGAGAGAGAGACAGAGTGAGAGAGAGAGAGATCGAACGAGAGTGACAGAAAGAGAGTGAGAGTGAGAGAGAGAGAGAGAGACAGAGACAGGGAGACAGGAAGAGAGAAAGAGATAGGGATGGAGGAAGGGAAGAAGGGATCGGGAAGGGAGGGGGCAGGGAGACACGAGGAAGAGGGGAGGTGAGGTGAGGAGGGGGGTGCCGGGAGGATGGGAGAGGGCTCGGAGGAGGAGAGGGAGGTGAAAGCAAGTTTGGATTGCTCGCGCCAAATCTGACATCTTACCCACATGCAATGACTTCTTCTGTCCGCCGACGGTGTGATGCGCAAGCAGAAGAGGAGGCACTGCACACGGGAGGATAAGGAGGGGGAGGGGGCGCATGAGCAGGAGGAGCAGGCGGTGTAGGAGTGCGCCGGCTCCCGACCACAGAGCACCTGGCGTTTGGAGAAGGAGCAGGATGTTGAGGAGGAGGAGGAGGCGTTTCAGCAGCAGCGAAGGAGGAGCATGAGAACTATTAGAGGGTTCAGAAGGTAACGACGGTAATGACGTGGAGGCATTCTGATCCAGGGTTGTGTCCCGCACTCGGGGCGAGGTCGCAACTCCGTCGTGTTGCCATCGTTGCAGCGGGAGCGCCATGTTTGAAGGACCGCAGTCCGTCCGATCGAACAGTGGCCTGGCATCCGGTTTGTGACAAGAGTGGGAGAGGCGGCGCCCGCGCTGGACAGCAGCGGGGGAGGGACGGAGCAGTGTTCAAGTCTTGCCGCCTGCGGCAAGGGCCGCCACCGTGCCGGCCCAGCATGCTGGGTGGCGGGGCCCCACGTGCGACGCCTCGTGCCCCCACGCTCGGGAGAGCCGTGCCCCCATCCTGGCCATGATCATTATCGAATGGCCTGTGGGGCCTCTTGAAGGCCTCTCGCAGGCCTCTTGGGGCATCTCGGAAGCACCTTGGGCCGTCTGGATGCCATCCTGGGCGCCTGGAACCGATCGCTCGGCGACTCGGGGCCCTCTCGGACCGTCTCAGGGGCCTCTTGGGGCCCTCTTGGCCCATCTGGGGGGCCCTCTCGGACCAGATCAAGTCATGCGACACGACACGGCCCGCCCCAAGAGATTTGGCCCGCTGGGGCCTGGGTCCCTTCAGAATTCTTGTTGCTTGCGGCGAGTCCTGCCACCGTGCCAGCCCAGCATTCTGGTTGGCGAGGCTGTCGCGTGTGACACCTCGTATCCCCACGCTTGGGGGAGCCGCGACGCGGATGATGAGATGATTCCTCTCGTTGCGCGGAGTGCACGTGCGGAGCAC